AAGTGATTAACGCCATCTTATCTATGTTCCCTGGTGGCTTTGTGGTAAGCCATAGTTAAAATGGTTTACTTTATCATGTAAATGTCATATATATATATATATATGTCTGCCAGTTGCTCAGTGGAAAGCTTGTGGACTAATAACGCTAGAATTCAGAGCTCGATCTACGCATGGACAAAGGGCAGATAATCCATTTTTGAAGCTTGTGCGCAAAACAAAACAAGCATCATACATATATATATATATATACACACACACAGTAAGAATATATATATATGTATATACACACACACAGTAAGAATATATATATATGTATATACACACACACACAGTAAGAATATATATATATGTATACACACACACAGTAAGAATATATATATGTATATACACACACACACAGTAAGAATATATATATATGTATATACATACACACAGTAAGAATATATATATATGTATATACACACACACACACAGTAAGAATATATATATATATATGTATATACACACACACACACAGTAAGAATATATATATATGTATATACACACACACACAGTAAGAATATATATATATATGTATACACACACACACACAGTAAGATTATATATATATGTATATACACACACACAGTAAGAATATATATATATGTATATACACACACACAGTAAGAATATATATATATGTATATACACACACACACAGTAAGAATATATATATATGTATATACACACACACAGTAAGAATATATATATATGTATATACACACACACAGTAAGAATATATATAGTTTCTGCAAAATATTGATAAGGCTATTAATATGCCCCCCAGTGGCACAGAGGTATGTCTGTGGACTTATAACGCTAGAATCCGGGTTTCGATACCCGTGATGGGCAGAGCACAGTTAGCCCATTGTATAGCTTTGTGCTTAATTACAAACAAACAAGCTATTAATATATTTATGAAACTCACATGAGAATTAAATGAATATGGTATTTTATATAGCTTATGCAAATGATAAGTTTCTGTTAGCTATTTATTGTAATATCATAAGCTAAACCTTTCTACAACATAAAATATGAATACGTTTTTAATCACACATATTTCATGAAACGTTTAGTACAAGTTTCTGCACATTGTTACAAGTTCTAGACGGACAGAATGTACCCAACCTTGAATTTCACTTCGCTAAACGTTTCCTTTAGCAATCTCAGAAGTTTGAAGGTCTAGTGCAGGTCTTGTTTATTTTACACACGTGGTTGCTCACCATAACTCACTTAGTTGGTTTGAATGAGTGATCTATCTAGCTTATCTGTTATAAGTGAAAACCAAGAAATCGTAAACTAATTTTATTTTTTGTTGTTGTTAATTGGATATACCACGTGACATTAGATGATGTATAATTTTTTTAAGGTCTCAAGAGAACTTAAATTTGTAATACAGTTCTAAGTAAAATTACTTCTTGGTCAAAATTCGCTCGGTGTTGCTCAAATTAGCATTTTTTTTATCCATTAGCTACAAATTAGCATTTTTTCTATTGTCCAGAAACTATGTCACAAAGTAACCGACTGCAAGTGTAAAGGGGAAATTTGAATTTCACCAGCTATATTTTTTTCACGTTTTTACTGTTGTACAATAAAATTGTTTTTCATTGCCTATTGGAAAAATTGTCCCCAGTTTCTTTTGCTGTAATTGTTGAGTCTGACTTGTTTCAGACTCTGTAAATACATTCTATTGAACCTTCTATTTTACGATATTCAGTTTTACATTTTAATACCAGACCCCCATTAATGAGCTCTGGAATATTCTACTAAAACATGTTGCAGTCCGTTAAGCTAATCAAAAACAAGGCTTTCTCAAAATATTTATGGTTCTGAAATTTTATTCATACGAGTTTCTTTAAGTTTATAAGCTATTACAAGATGTATGTGTTCTGCTAGTCAATTGATTATTGTTTGTTCAGATTCGCGTAAATATACTAGAAGACTACCAGTGCTAGCCGTCCCTAATTTTGAACTGATATGCTAGAGGGAAGGCAACTGGTCAACACCACCAACTCTCTGGCTACTTCTTACCAATAAATAGTGAGATTGACTGGCACATTATAACTCCCTCATGGCTGAAAGGGTTTCGAGTCTGCGAAGCGCTGTTTGCGTGAGAGTAGAACTCTCTGACCGCCAGGCCAGGCTAGGTCTTTTTTTGTATGTAGATATTTTCCAGAAATTATTTAATGATTTCATACCAAAACGTTGTTGGAAACCGCGTAGAGCATCGTCTACTGAACATCAGCCACTGATAATGAAGGTACTATGTCGGGTATTGAAAATACACTATATAGCAAGAATAGACACTCTTTGGAGCTTCATTTATTTTGGGCTCTCGAGTTAATAATCGCATTTAAAATATATTCAGTCATTAGAAACGGCTAGCACAGATAGTCCTCGTGTAGCTTTGCGTGAAATTCAAAACAAACCAAATCAAGCATAGAAAAATGATTTGAAGATAGCCCTGTTACTCGTAAATCGTGTTAAGTATCTTCTATTTTATTAAAATATCATAAGCCTCGGACATGGATTGCTGCAAAGAGAAATTCATTTTACTGGTGACAATTTCAGTGCGAGAGGGCTTTTGATAGAAGATGCTGTATTGAAATGTCACGCTTAAGCATAATGATAGCCACTAAACCTCCTCGGTTCTGAATAGAAAACATGTAATTATCTATCGTATTTCAGTTCGTTCGAACCGGTCTCAAATTAGTTAGCGCATTTTGTACTTCAGCCTCAACTACACTTTCAATTTCAACTCCGAAAAAATATCTTGAAAATTAAAATAAGGATAATTTTCCAACTCTAATAATTACATAATCTTCCAAAGTAGGTTTAAAATTTTTTCTCAACATTAATGCAATTGTTTATTTATATATTTTTAGACGTTTAAAGAAATAAAAATACGATACTATAAAATTAAACACGTAGTTTCATATCTAAAAAGTTTAAAAAAGGAGAAGAGAATTATCTCCTGCTAGTGATAAAGTAGAAATTAAATATGGAGGGTTCTGAAATTTGTTATACAAACGCACTATACGATTAGTTAGTAGTTTCTCAAAAGTTCTTTTATACTTTTGAGTTCAAAGATGTGACACTCCTCTTTTAACTACAATTACTTTTCCGAGATCAATGACAACAATATCCTTCGTAATTAGCTTTTACATCACACTTATCCCATATTCTAATTGAATATATATATATATATATAAATGGATTTTAACATTCCGATGAAAGCACTACTGTATTTGATTAATAAAGAATATTGAGCCATTTTATGTAAACACTAATGGTAAAAAAAACAACAACAGCAATACATAATAAATCATAGAACTCTAATCTTCACTTTTAAACCATATACTCAAAAATCAGTTCTGTGACATTTATGGAAAACACCGTTAAAGTAAAGTGTGGTTTACATTTAATGGCATTTATTATAGAAACTCACGACTTATGCTCCCGGTGACTTCTATGAAATACAGTTTTTGAGTGTGTTTTTAAATTGAATAAAAATAATGTAACGCTTTCCTATGTTTCTATTGGACCAATGATTGTGTAAGAGCGTGTGCTAGATATTACATGTATAAAACTGCCAAACGTAGCGAAATAAGAATTCATGTAATACAAAGTAAGTACATTTGACATAAAACAATATTATTACTTTTAGAAAGTGCCAAATGCAATGAAAAAATAACTCAAAGACTCTAAAATAAGTAGAATAACACAAAAATTGCAATATTCTAAGAAAACTAACAAATACACAATATAAGCAGCTTATAGGTTCAAAAAAAAGTATATTTAACATAAAACGATGTTAGATCTCTCAACACCAAATATGCTTGATAACTTTTCTGTGTTTGCTTCAAATACGCAAAGTAGTTTAGCTTTGTATTAAATAAATCATGCCCCCCCCCTAGTGGCACAGCGGGATGTCTGCGGACTTACAACGCTAGAAACCGGGTTTCGGTACCCGTGGTGGGCAGAGCACAGATAGCCCTTGTGTAGTTTTGTGCATAATTAAAAACAAACAAATCATTTTAACTGAAATCAATAAAACTGTATAGTTGTTCTCCCAAATAACGATCATTGTAACTCAAATCTATAAAACATCTTAGTTGTTCTATTAAACAACGGTCTATGTAAATCCAAGCAATAAAAACACTTAGATGTTCTCTTAAAAATGATAATTGCAATTCAAGTCAATAAAGCAGCTTAGTAGATCTCTTAAACAATGATCACTGTATCTCAAAAATATGAATAAGTTTATTGCTGAGTTAAACAATGATCATTCTAATTGAATGCAATAAAAATGTTTCGTTGTTCTCTTATTCAATGATCAAATCAATAAATATCCCTATTTAATCTCTTAAACAATGTTCTATGTAAATCAAAGCAATAAATAAGCTTGTTGTTCTCTTAAGCGATGATCATTGTAATTGAAAATAATGAAATGTTTTTAAGCAACGATCATTAAAACTCAAATATGTAAAGTAGCTTAGTTGTTCTCTTAAAGAAATCAGTAAATCAAGCCATTAAAGCAGCTTAGTTATACTTCTAAACAATAATCACTGTAACATAAATCAGTAAAATAGCTTTGTTGTTCTCTTAATTAAACAAATCATTATAATTTAAATGAATGAAGTAGCTTAATTATCTCTTCAACAATCAACATGGTAATTCAACTCAGAAAATTAGTTTGGATGTTCTCTTAAACAAATCATTGTAAGTCAAAATGTTTTATTAAACAATGATCTTTCGATCTTAAATGAATACAGCAGTTCAACAATAAGTAGGCTTAACATTAAAATAGCATACTCTAATAAAACTAACAAATGCATCATATAAACAGCTTATAGGCTCAAAAATAAGTACATTTAACATTAAACAATGTTTGATCTCTCAACACCAAATCTGCTTGATAAATGTTCTTTGTTTGCTTCAACTTTTAATTTTCTCAACAGGACAAACTTCTTGTAAAACTGGAAGAGCATGAACCTGAGATGGCTAAGTCACGTGACGAGGAGGTAAGAAACATTTTGCTATAGAATAAATATATTTTATGTTTAGTTTTAAACTATGATGGAGGCCCGGCATGGCCAGGTGTTAGGACTCTCGACTCGCAATCTGAAGGTCGCGGGTTCGAATCCCCGTCCCACCTAACATTCTCGCCCTTTCAGCCGTGGGGCGTTATAATGTGACGGTCAATCCCACTATTCGTTGGTAAAAGAGTAGCCCAAGAGTTGGCGGTTGGTGGTGATGACTAGCTGCCTTCCCTCTAGTCTTACACTGCTAAATTAGGGACGGCTAGCGCAGATAGCCCTCGTGTAGCTTTGCGTAAAATTCAAAACAAACAAACTCTTTGCGTCTAACTTCCAAGAACGGGAGGTTTGTCCAATATGTATATATTTTTTACTACGTTCACATGAGATACGCCATGTACGCCTTGTTTTTATTCTTTATCTAGTATTTGTTTCAAGTTAGGTAATAAGACGCTTATTTTATATAAAGGTTTAAATTATAAGATTTTTGTATCCGATTTTAATTCACTGAATGAACAGGTTATTTCAGGGGTAATTTCAAGAAAAAAGAAACAAAAAAGGAACTTTAATGTTTTTTGTTATATGATAGAGGAAAAACTGGAATTACCGTAGAATGTTGTAAGGCCTTTAAGTCTAATAAAATCTTTAACTATGATATTACGGTTCTTAAAACCTTTAGATGGCCTTAGATTGCATTGTTCAGAATATATTTGTTTTAGTAATTCAATTTTCTTTGAAAAAGATACCCGATGAGAGAGAGATAAGTTTATCGACGTAAAATGCTAAAATTCGAGGTTCGATTCCCTGCGGTGGACACAGCAGATAGCCCAATGTGGCTTTGCTCGAAAACAAACAATCAACGAACAACTTTGAAAAAGTTGCCCTTTTTCACGCTGAACTTGTCGAAAGAACGTTGATAACGCACCTTCAACTTGTCTATACATTGTTGTCCAAAGAAGAAAAATAAAATAATGTTTTATCTTCCTGAGGCAGAAGAAACAGAGGATATTAGGATACTTAATAATATTTTTCGACTCATGCAACTATTTAAGAATTCTAAAAATATTTTGAACATTTCCGGAAGGAAAATCCATAAATATGTTCGTTATAACATTCTATTTTTATATTTAAACTGTTTTTGTTTTTTGTTTTTGTGGGAGGGGGTGGGGGATTGATTCTCACTGTGAAGTTATAAAACAAGTTTTAGAATGATTGCTTCTAAACTTACATGGTAGAATGTTGTTTTTTTTTTTTTTAGGATTCAGTATCACTATGTTGATATTATCTTATTTAGAAAAATGGCAAGCAAATATTTATCACGAACGACAGGGTGTAGCTTATTCGCTCTGGTTCAATATTTAATGTATGCCATTTGCTGGTACAAAGATGTTCAATAGTTAGTATATGCCATTTGCTGGCACAAATCAAATTAATTAACAACATACGTCCACCTGTTTAAGGGATCTATTTTCTTTAACTCGAGGAGCTCTTAAATATTTAGCCAGAATATTAGAAATTTTCCTTATGATAAACTATAAGTGATGTATAATAATATTATCGCAGCAAGCTAAGTGAACGCAGAGAATTAAAAAAACATTAGATATTCCAAAACTGTCAAACTAGATTAAGATAATTTAAGCTCATTTTTTATCTTATTTTGTTGGTTAGAGAATCTAAGGATGATTTTAACCTTCTTTTTTTTGTAATTCGCGTTTTTATTGTTCACATTGAAATATTCAAATGACAAATCCTCACATGTGTATTCCAAAAATACGTGATAGAATATTCTAATACTGGATGAGCATAATAATATATATATATATACAAAAGTTATCTTTCTATTGCCTAAACCAAATGCACTCCGAAAACGCATATATGTGAGGAATTTTGAGAATATTTGGTTTGTTTGTTTACTTTCTTTTGAATTTCGCCCAAAGCTACTCGAAAGCTATCTGCACTAGCCTCCCCAATTTAGCAGTGACAAATGAGAGAGAAAGCAGATAGTCAACACCAACCACCGCTAGCTCTTGGGCTACTCTTTAACCAACGAATAGTGTGATTGACCGTGACTATATAACGCAACGCACCATGGCTGAAAGGACGTGCACGTTCGATGGCGGGGATTTTAACCCGCGATCCACAGATTGCGAGCCGAGAGCCCTAACCACCAGGTTATGCCAGGCCTCAAAGACGAAGAGTACATACTATTTGTGAAAAGCCTCGAATGTGTCCGACGTATATCAGTCTATCGCCGGAATAATCACACTGAAACCAATACGTTTAGGTTCTTACAAACAGCCGTTTCAGGCCGTACCTGCTAATCTCTGTTATAACCAAAAATGGTAATTACAGTTGTCCATTTAATTAGAAGTTGTTGTTGTTTTTTATCAAAATGGATCGTACAATTTCAAGATAATTATTATTTTATCTAGTTGGACTAATGAGGATTTCTGGACTGACTAAATCTAGTCAGTTTGACTGTATGTAGTTGGACTAATGAGCATTTCTGGACTGACTAAATCTAGTCAGTTTGACTGTATGTAGTTGGACTAATGAGGATTTCTGGACTGACTAAATCTAGTCAGTTTGACTGTATGTAGTTGGACTAATGAGGATCTCTGGAGTGACTAAATCTAGCTATTTTAGTTATAGCTATTTGTACTAATAAGGCTCTTTGAACTGACTGAATGTGACTGATTTTAATATATCTAGTTGGATCAATGTGTTTGGACCAATTAGATCGAATTAGTTTGATGATATCTAGTTCAACTAATGAAACTGTGTCATGCGGAGCTCACCATATTTTTCTGCCTTTTCAATTACTAGGTGAAGTTTTCAAAAGTTATGTATACTTTGTGTTGATTTTAATATAGAACGTCTGTAAGGATGATCACTAATCTTTCCTCGCTTTAGTTATTCGCGGGACTGAGTGAATCAGCAATGATGTCATGGGTGATTCACTGGAAGGATTACTGTAGTTAATGTTAGCGACAGCTATTATTTCTCATAGTTAATAGGGTGGTGTTCTAAGAGATTTGAATCCCCTTGTTAACTTGAGAGTGGCCCTCAGTCATGTGGATGGTGTGCGCCTAGAGAGAGAGTATCTTGTATATATATTACTATGGTTTTTTTCTGTTTTAAGGCCATTTTCAGCCGATACAGATTGTAGAGTTTTAACAGATTCAAGATATTGTTCTTGTTTGGGCTTCTTTCTTAGATAGATCTTTGAGGCTCCTTATTTGATTTAGATTTTCAGCTTAGTAAGCATTTGGCGATTTGAGTTCCAGTTGTTTTGCACTTGTATACACTTCTTGGTTCACAGCTAAGCTGTGAACCTTAAATACTGAGAGAAAACTCATAAAAATCTGCCAAGTTTCCACAGAGTACTCTAAAAACCGCCGTTTTAACTTGGATTTGTGTTTGTTAATAAAGGTTGCTACTTAATACCGTTTTGTGTTCTAGCTCTTTCTTTGTCTCAACTCCGTGGAAGTCAGACCTTCACTCCATGATACTGTTTCCAACGAACATCTAGTTATCTTGCATCGTTCTACTCGTTTACATTGCGAGAACTTAGTGATTTTGGGCAAAACCTCTCCAAACTAACTAGAATTACTTAATTTGATTATATCTTATTGAACTAATTAGGATCTCTGGATTGACTAGATCTAGTCAGTTGGACTAGTGAATAACTCCAAATTGACTAGGTCTCGCCACTTTGATTATGCCTAGCTAGACTGTTGAGACAGCTCTAGATTAACTGGATCTGACCTTATTTAATTATAATTAACTGGACCGCTGAGGGAACTAACTATATTTGGCTACTTTTATGATGTTTTGCTCAAGTAATGAGGCAACAGTGGACTAACTAGATTTAACCACTATGATGATTTCTACATGGAGTAATGAGGCTATTTTGGACTGACTAGGCATAATTATTTTGAGGATGACTAGCTAGACAGATCAGGATTAACTAGGTCTAACTACTTTGAGGATATCTAGCTAGACAGATCAGGATTGACTAGATCTGATCTATATGAAGCTAAAAACATCAGAGAACAATCTAAGCATTATTCTATTACATCTTTACAGTAGATTATAATGGGTAATCAAGTGTCCTTTAATGTGTTTTTTCATCACTCATTAACCAGATGCTTACTTTCCTTCTATTCATTTGATTTTATTCAAAGTGTATTACATGCAGTAAACCAATGGATAACTTTCTAACATAGTACTTTTATTCAAAGTGTATTACATGCAGTAAACCAATGGATAACTTTCTAAGATAGTACTTTTATACAAAGTGTATTACATGCAGTAAACCAATGGATAACTTTCTAAGATAGTACTTTTATTCAAAGTGTATTACATGCAGTAAACCAATGGATAACTTTCTAAGATAGTACTTTTATTCAAAGTGTATTACAAGCAGTAAATCAATGAATAACTTTCTAAAATAGTATTTCCCCTATTGTATAGAACGTTATTGTTTTGTTTAGTGAGATAGATAAGTTATTTCTATTTATGCTTCGCTTAAGTTCAAATCAAAGCAGAAAAAACGTTTTGAATTATTTCATTTAAATTTTTATTTGCATTAAAAAAAATGCATAGATATTTTTTCTCCCCGGTTGGTTGAGCGGTAAGTCTGAAGGCTTTGAGCACTAAAATCCGGGCTCCTATACCCTTGGTAGTCCATGTAGCCATGTAGCTATATGTAGCTTAATAACAAAACAAGCAGATATTTTTCAGGCAATTATGTGCATTAAATAATATTGGGATACTATAATTACATAATGATGTTGTTTGTCTCAAATTACTCTATAATTTTCTATTGGACATTATTAGGGAATTATTGGTCTAACTATTTGTGGTACAGACACGTTTAAAGTTTACTATCCGATTTCCAGTGCCTGTTAAGAATTTAATTTTCGGAATAAAGTATATCTTGTGATGATACTGGTAAGACATAAAAGAAATCTTCTTGACAA